GTAATCACTTATATAAATTATTAAATAAAGATACGAGCAAGACCTCACCTTTAATATAAAAAAAAAAAAAAAAAAAATTATACTAGTTATTTAATAGTTTAAAATATGAGAAATTATAAACATCTTCTGTAAGAGATATATAAACTATATATTTTCTACATATTAACCAATAAAATAAATGATAGTTATGCAATAATGCAGACACTATAGATCAATATTGCTAGACAAACCTCAATTTTATATTGTATAGTATGTGATCTAAATGTATTTTGTTTTCTAGACTAAGGTAATTTATATTTGATATATTGTTATATATAATTTTTTGAGTAACAAATTTTTTTTTAATTTAGCTGATTTGAATAATAAAAAATTTCTATCTTGAAATAGCTGTATGAAATATGTAGTGAATAATTAAATAATTGGTAAGTTTATATGTAAGTATAAGTACTTATATATATATACATATTGTAAATATAAAATAAAATTTCTCATGAAAACTGAACTTTAGAAATAATCTTTTAATTTTAAAAATTGCAAATATTTTTTAAAATTTTATACCAGTCGGTACTAAAGCTAAATTACAAATGTGTATAGAATTTTATATATATATATACATTGTATATACTATATATATATAATTTTTTATATTTGAAATAAATTAGTTTCTGTCTTGGTTTCATAAAAAGTAATTTACAAAACTTTACTAGATATTTTTTTATGAAGAAACATCTAATCTTTGTATGTGAAAAATAGCAAAATTTGTAAAGAAGCAAGAAGTAATAGTATACAAGCAAAATTTTATATAAACATTAGTTAGAAACTATAACTTTATTTTAATCATAGTTATTTCATCAAGTACACAAGAATAGTATCATAATAGTAGAATATTAGGTATTAATAACATGATATGATTTTGTCACACCTCAGATGGCAGATCTAGAGTTCAAATCCCATAGATGATGTTTTCAAAAATTAGTCTTGTAATATAGTTAATAGCTATCACCGATCGGTTAAATCCTAATCTGTAATCTTGGTAATATCTCTTGAATGGAAGCTTCGGTACAATAAATTCAAGGAACTGGAATAACTGAAAACCCATTTGGCAAGTTTTGAGTTGGGAGGTAGCATGACCTTTGATAGTGCTACAGGAAGACCGAATTTGAAATCAGAGACTGAGACTAGAGAACCAAGCAACCAGGTCCTTAAATGGGGAGGACATACCAGCCAAACCACCAGATCACCAACTGGAAGAAAAAAATATATGTTCTAAAAGCATGTACCAAGAGGAGAGCAGCCGTGAGACATCTAAAGCCTGAGCAGACCAACCCTTCTGGGTTGCTAGCTAGAAGTAAGGGAAGACTGGTAAAGAATCTGAAGAAAAAGGAAAGTCTGAATGTGGGTACTGGGGCTGTGTAAACCCACAAGGCCAAGAGTAAATAACTAAGGACTAACTAAAAAGGTTGTGGTTTGAGATATGGCTGGGTTATAGCAGCACCCTAAAAGGTGACTTGAGATATAAACCCGGTGGCAGCAGCACAATAAATATGAGTTAAGAAAAGGTTACCAAACACACAGACGAATACATATATAGAACATGTACTGCTCTGTTAGGTTTATTTCAAGAATAAATTAATCTTAGGATGGCTGGTAAATGTAGTGGTGTTGCAAAAGTCTATGTATAGAATAGATAAGTTACACCTGCATTAAGTAAAATAGGTAGTATGTTGTAATCAGAAAGTTTAAATAGGTAATCCCATAGTTGGGTTGCAGGTATAGCAGATAGTATAGAACCTTCGGGTGAACTACTTAAATTAGACACCAAAAGTGCATGTGTGGCTTGATATACTTTCATCATAATATATAATACTTATAAAGTTACTTAATAAAAACTTACTGACTCAAGAAGCCACTTTAACACTTAAAAAAAAAAATAATAAAATAACATGATATGATTATAGTATAGAAAACTAATAAAGTTTTTAAAATTTTTTAAAGATTAAAAAACTTATTAGAGTTTGAAAGCATATTGGAACCTAAAAGCTTAGTAGAATTTAAAGGCTCAGTTAAATCTAAAAGTTTAATGGAACCTGAAAGCCTGATGGAACTTAAAAGCTCAGTGGAACTTAAAAGTTTTATAGAACTTGAAAGCTTAGTGAAACCTAGAAGCTTAGTAAGATCTGAAGATGTATTAATTCAAAATAGCAAAGTTTATGATTCTCTTAAAGCTTTTAAATATATGGCTGACTAATATTTAAAAGCAAACAAATTTAAAGTTATTTACAATAAAGACAGTAACCATAGTGGTGGTTTATACCGAACTCAAGTTTTTACCTGTGACCATTATGATTAATTCAAACCTAAATCTAAAGATTCTAACAAAAAAAAAAGTTTAAAAAATATAATTGTTAGTAGTCTATTTGGCTTAATTATAACCAAATTGATAATAAGTATTATATTTCACAAACAATACTTTGCCATAATTACTTTCTGATTCTAGTTTAGCTTAGATATATTTCATTTGCAAGTTGTAAAATATCAACAGATATTAAAGAGAAAATTTCACTTTTTAAAAAAGCTAGAATCTCAATATTACAAATTTAGTCACTGCTTGTAACAAAATATGGACTAATTGCCAAAAAATAAATAATCTAAGATATGTATAACTTCATTAGCACTGTCTATATTTCATATAATAATTCTAGACCAATGATTTTCTTCTTCTCCTATAACCAAAATGCAGAGATGATTCTGAGTTTTCTTTTGAATTCAAGCTGAACCAAAAAAATCAGTTAAAGCATATAATCTGGGTATATTTATCTCAAAAGTAGTAGTATATATACTTTCATGATATGATAATACATATAAATGTAATTATTTTTTAATGCCTTTTATGGTGTTTACTGGTGTTATTAATAGGAAATTCTTATTGTACTGCTAGTACACTGCTTCAGGATAAGACCCATTCAAGTTTTGAGTGGCTTTTTGAAACCTTTATACATATCTTTTGTGTTACTCCACAAACTATACTTACTGACAATAACCTCTTTATGGCTGATGCTATCTGTTCTGTTCTAAATATTAAGCATAGCACCAAACATGGTATTTGTATATAGCATATGCTTAAAAATATTAAGTCAAATATGATTACCAAACATGAATTCAAATATAATAAATTTTATACTGATCTTATTAAATATCTTAATTATTATATCAATCAAAGTAAGTTTGAGAAATAATAGAATAATGTTATAATAAACAATAACTATACTAAAGCAAGATTATATCTGGAAGTACTTAATTAATAGTGTGAGTGGTAGACCCTAGTATACTTGAAAGACTATTTTTTGCTAATATATCATCAACACAAAAGAGAGAGTTGATGAATAAACTATTAAAAAGTTTTCTTGATAGTAAAACCATGCTTACTGATTTTTTAGTAGCTTTTAAATAAGTACTTGATGCTTGTAAAGAAGCTAAACATATTTCTGTATACAAAGAGCTGGTCTATCCCTCCCATTTGACTTCTGAGAACTCTATAGAAAAACAAGCTGCTAATTGTTTAATATAATATATATATAAGAAATTTATAGCTAATGGAATACATAGGATGCTTATATGTATGAGAAAGTAACTAGTAATAATAAGTTGCGCTGTTTTAAATTATTACATTATGAAAGGCCTAACATTATATGTTGGGTATTTTATAATGGTTGTATACTTTTCTGCAACTACTGTAATCTTGAATTTGCTAGAATAATTTTATCATTCTCTTGTAGTAGTAGTTTGCCTTTCTTTTGCTCAACTTGATGATTTTTATTTTCTAAAATGGTGGTATAAAGATCTTTCTAAATTGGAGTTTGCCAAGAAATATATTAATTTTTATAGTTGTTTGCAACCACAAGCCTATAAAACTCCAGTATTGCATAAATTTTCTAGTAAATATGCCTCTAAACTCTAGTATATACATATAGTAAACTATTAGAAGAAATTGCAAGTAAAATTGCAATCAACTCTGATAATGTGCAAATTTTACAATGTATCTTGAAAAGTATTTAGAAGACCTTTATATTACTGTCAACAATGATTAAAAATTGATCTATAAAGAAAATGCATTAGTATCTTCTAGGCTTTTAGTAATTAACAACTTTCTTAAAAGCAAAGCAGTCAGATAGCCAAAAAAAAGAAGAATTAGAAGTGAAAAAGAAAATATACCTGTAGTTGTAGTAAAAAAGAAATGAGGTAGACCAAAAAAAGCTCTTGAAGAGAGCCTGACTAAAAATTAAATGAAAATAATCTAAGGCATTTACAACACAACGTAGTTTTATATAAATACTTGATATTAAGATAACATTTATATAGTTCTTATTTTTTTTTTTTTTTAATATATATATATATATATATATATTTTATAAGAATGTATTATTATTTTATTGTTTTTTAATAATCAATTCTTTATTTTATTTAGCTCTTAGTATTGAATTACTATCATATTATGTTTTAATAAATTAAATATAGATAGTAATTTAAATATTTGCTGCTAACCTTTATTAGCCAAGGTAATAATGCTATTAATATTGTTATATTTTTACAAATATTAATGCCAGATTTGATTTTCTATAAATAAAAATAACTTGCAAATAATATTGCATGCTGAAAAAATTATAGACAAGATATATGATTCAAAAAAAAAATTAAAGTTTAGTTACTTTATATCTTGTAAATAGCTAGTTTATATTCAAGTTCAAAACAATAATATAATATATAGTAGTATATGTTGTTATAATTAAATGATATATTCAAAATATGAAAAATTTAATATTTATTAAAATAATATTATGATGTAATTGAGATGTATATTTGAAAATTTTTATATTAAAATAAAGTAAGTATAAATTTTTATTATATTAATGCATATTTTATAAAACTTACTAATAAATGCTCTTTAATAAATTTCATGAAATTAGATATTAAATTAGACAGTAAACATGTTAGCAATTTATTAAATTCACTCTCGTTATACTATATAAGTATGAAATAATGCTTATGGCTATTATTTTAAAAATTGGATTCTTCAAAAACAACATATATAGTTTTAAATTAGTATTCATAGGTGTTCCAAATTAATACAGCAGTAAATTATGTACTATTTTAGAATATATAATATATAGTTAATACTCTATATACATACACTTTATAAGTGCACTTCATATACACTTTTTCTTTTTTTTTTTTTTATTAAATATTGAGGTGAGTACTTAGACCCTTAATGCTTTATTAGTACTGAACATAATGCTTAGCACAAACTAAACCATAATACATTTATATTGTAAGAGTACAACTAGCTACATATACAACTTTTAATTGCTTATTTAAGTAGTTCACTCTAAGGTCCTATACTAGTTGCTATATCTATAATCTGCTAGAAGATTACTTATTTAAACTTTCTGACCCTATATCTGTATCATGATGCTTATATCTAATCCTTTCATTTTGGGACCTGAGATTTTAAACCCTATTACCCAGTCTCTTCTTTAAAACCAGGGTATTTGACTTTGTACTAAACTTGCTAGAATGGTATATATTCCACATATACACTCACCCAAACTTTTAGTAACCTATGCTATAGCTTTATCTGCACACTCGAGAGTTATTCACCTCTACAGTTACTTACTAATACCCTTGCAAAGTTTAGTATTTAGATCCTGGTACCCACTTTCTATTTCTTTCATGTCTCATGTTCTTGGTTTCTTTAATTTTCCAAACTAGTTAGCCTAGTAGGGTTGGTCACCCCAGGCTTTAAGCACCTTCCAGGTCTCCTTCCCTTGGTATACGCTTCTAGAGCACATGTCTTTTTTCTCCAGTATGACTCCAGTGGCCAGATTGGTAGATCTTTCTATCGCAAGATCTTGTTAGCCAATTCTACCAATTTTTCGGTTCAATCCAAATCTGTTCTGTAGCACCATCAAAGATCTTTACTACTTCTTTGCTTAGGTTTTGCCAAGCTGGTTCTGAATCTTCAAGTCCTCTCTGTCAGTTTTATATGATCCTGAAAGTCTTATTGTGGGTTTGCACTACCTAAACTGGTTTGCATTCTTCTGTGTAATACAGATGCTTCTAGAATCTTCCAGTGCACAAGGTGCATTGGTGTGACCAGAGTTACAGATGATAAAACTCAATTTATTGATAAAGATTCGTTACCATGATACAAGTAGTTTTGTCCAAACTGTTGCTAGTGGAATTCAAACTCGGTATTATAGTCAAGCTAGCTTGGAGGTGTAACAACTCTACAATTACTCTAAGTCAGTCACTATACCCTTATGCACTTTTTCTATAATAATAAATGCATATAATTTATATAATTATTTAATATTATATGAAATTATTCACTATAATGAATATTTTATAAATATATCTTTACTCAACAACATATATTTATTGAAGGTTGACTATATGAATTTAGAAAATTTTCTCTTATTTTGAAATAATGTACATAGGTGTATTCAAAATAATATACAGGTAAGTATTATTGTAGTAAAAATTCTTATTATAATATAATAAAGAATTTTGAAATCCTGAATTATTAAACTTCAACTTGAAATAGTAAAGTATATATAGTTTATCTAATTTAATGTGTATATAATTAATATCTAAAGTGAGAACTATAAAAAGTATTTTGGTTACAGATTTGTAATTAAATTATAAATTATACTAGAATTATTAGAATTTTATTATATTTTAAATAAATTCTTACAATTAGCCTTAATGCTAATTACAAAGATTTTTTATAATAATTTTTACATAATAAAAGTATTATAATTAATTATATGAGTAGCTGATATTTGGTAATTATCTTTATCCTGCAAATTGATCAAAGTAACAGAGCAATATGTAACTTGCAGTTTCAAAATTTCAAGCTATGCTCTGATTAGTAAAAATATTAGGTTCATAAAGTTAACTATCCAACTAATGTATCCGAGATTATATAATTATGTTGTTAAATATTAATATATATCATATGATCTATTCATATTTTTATTAGTAGATATGTGGGAGATATATAAGTTATATATCTCCTGCGAAAGATGCTTATAATTACTCTTAAAATATATAAAACAAAAGAATATTTAAAGATATTAAAATTTTTATATAATTTCACAATACAAAATTATATAAAAATCATATATTTTTATTAGATAACTTGGCACTAAGTCAAACACTAAGTTACAATTTTAAATTTGAAAAGTTTGT